ATTGCCCCACTCGGCGCCCTGAGCTTTTGAGTGCACTGTGTTTAAAGTGCAGTTGACAGTCACTCTGAAGCACTCGGTATCCATTTGCATGCTTCAGGGTTGCGAACTTCCACTGCTTCTTTGTTGTGGTTCAGTTAAAGTGCTTAGCAGGTTGCCTTTGTTATTGAGACAAAGTTGAATGTATGTAATGACTGCCTTTGATGCCCTTTTTTGCTTTGTGACCGCTGTTATGCCGTACAAAGAGTGGTGATTTCAAATAATAAATGTCTTCCGCCCTCTGTTTTCCTCTTGAAAATTAGAGAATGAAGTTCGGTCTTTATGGCATTCAGTTAAACTTTATTGTTATCATTTTTGTTAAGTTGAGGTATTAATGCATCATGGATTTCTTCCATCAGCACAAAAGCATAGAAGCCTGCTGTGAGCTTTATGTTTCTGGTAAACAATAGCGGGTAGCACAGCAGGGGTCAAACCTCCAAACTCTGATGTAGTCAAGATACAGAATTTAATTATCATGTAGGCGTCCTGCAAGCAAGTAGATCAACTGTTCTGGTAGAAAGAGTTAGTAACATGAGTGGATATTCTACTGTAGTTTTAAGAGAACATGGGAAAACTTTGATAAACATACCATTTCTACTGAAAGCACCTGCCACTGGTTTCATTTAAGTTAAAAACATGCTACTAATTACAGCTTGTCTTCTCTATCCTGTTAAAGGTAATAATCTAGCATATATATTTCCATGATTGAAACACCTGAGAAGGTGAAATAATACATCAGAAGTAACCTAAAGAAAATGAGCCTATAATGTGTGTCGGGTCTCTTTGACAACTCTGGGCCCACTTACTTCAAGCTTTTCTTTGAACCATGCAGCCACCATCTAATGATGTGTTTCTGACCTACAGTATGTCACTAACGTTGAAGTTATTTTTATACTGCACCTTCTTCCACATTTAGCACTCTTGTAACCTAATAGTGATATCAATCGACCAACCTTTGATTTTCACCAGCCCTTTTGATTCATATTCATATTGATGCCCTGTTGTTCTCTCCTGTTGTTGCTGTGTTTTAGTGGCATTTTATAATTCCTGCTTCAGTTCATTCACACATCCTACTAAAACTTCGGAAATTCTAATCCGGTTAAAGATCTTTCACTTTCACATCGTGAATTCTGAATTATTTAGTCAACTGGTCATCATTAAGCATGAGCAGACCTTTGCTCTGGTATAACTTCATTTGTAAATCAATCTTTGGACTGGTGCCCACCTATTTATCTACACATGTCATATAAACAGTGCTGCCATAGCCTCAGCTTCCAGCACTCCATCACTGTCTCAATCCCCTCAGTTCATATGGAAAAAACAACATTCTCCCACTCTGCCCCCTCAACCAGGAACACGCTGTAGCAGGATCTGAAACTGTCAAACATGATCCCCTAGGTGATTTTAAAGTATCTTTGAGAAATCAGTGTTGTCTTTTGTAGTTATGTTAAAAACTATCCCTTTGGCTATTTTTCACTTGCCTTTTTACTTTGATGTCTTGTTTTCTTGTTGTCAATGTCCTTTATGTCTGTAACTTTGTGTTGTATTCCTGTTGTATCTTGACCAGGTCTCTCCTGAGAAAGAAACCTGCATGGCGTCTCAATAAGATAACCTCTATAGATTAGTTTTACATTGAAGAATAATGAAACACAGGCAAATAGCAAAATGCTTTAATTGTTGCCCGTCTTTTGTGCACATATATTGAAGTTGAAGTTCTTTCAAATCCCTAAGGTTAATTTGAGCACCTTGCAGCTTTTATTTTTATAATCCATACTTCAGTTTGGATTTGACGCTGTAAAATGTAGTACTTTTGAAATGGATACGAGTCCTCTTTGTTACTTTGACTTTATTTATTATATTCTTTCCTGTCAACTATCATGAACTTCTCTAACATCTTTAAACATCCACAGTTCTATTTCCCTGATCTCTGAACCTGAATGCCACATACCACATTTTCATTCATCTGGAAACATTTAAGGTCATATTCAGATGTAAAAGTGATGTTGTCGTATTGGCCAGCACTGTAAACGGGTGGCATTTGGATGATGTGACATTTGCTTCCGCACATTAGACTTCCTCAAGCCAAGCTGTTCTGAGTTACACTGACATCAATTGGGGTCAGAAGTCGTACAGATGCACTCTGATATGATTGGCACTTGGGAGACTCATGGTTTAACACTTCGGGGATTATCCTCCATTTTCCAGAATGTTCTGCCTAGAGACTCTGAGGAAATGACCTCATGATGGGCTGATGGGGGTGGGGGGTATGTCTGTGTAGTCGCATGATCAAGATCTAAGGAAGATTGCATTGGGATCTGGAAACAGTGCTTCAGTGCAGCAATCATATAATATTGTAATATAATAGAAAGTAATGGTTGGAAAAGGGGATTTCAGCTGGGACTAGGCCCACGGCTATACTGCATGTCTGAATCCTGAATGTATTGCCCTCTGTCAATGGATAAATTGCCGAAAAGGTTCAAGCTTATAGACTACAGAGCCACAGGTTTAGGTTTTCTGTATACCTGTTTTTTCCCAGTGAGTTAGCAATGGGAATAATATAACTGATCCCAGTTTCACAGGAAGGAATCCAGTAATGTTCTTTAAATGCAAAGCTGAGATCAAAACCTGGAAAAGCAACTGACTGCATGTGTGTTTATGTGTATATGTTTAGGAATACACTGATTGCATGCATTGTTTCAAGCTATACGAACAACTGTGTGCTGTGTTATGTCTTCTCATTGTCTCTTTTCCTCCAAGCCCCCAATCGTCTTCCCCATTATCCATTATTCCACTTGTAAGCATATCTAAATATAGTCCAAGAATTGCTTAGGGGGCACTCTCTTAGTAGTGGTGGTTAAAGAGAAGACGGGGTATTTTCTCTAATTGTAAATGCATGTGTGGAGCCTGAGCTTGGGAAAGAGAGGCAGAGAAGTGTAAAGAGAATCTGGCAGTTTCTCCTGGCGCTCACTGTTTCCCAGCTGCTGTGCAGCTTATTTGTCCCTTTCAATGTGGGGTGCTCCTAGGAGTGGACATTTTGCCTTTGCTAAATACCTTTTCAAATAACTCCTTACCTCAATACAAGTTTCAGATACTTACACAACACACATGGAGACAAGCCCAGGCCCTTTTCTGCCTTCACTCCCTCCCCATCGCTTGGAAAATCTTTCATTTCTACAGAAAAGAAGTGCACACATCCTGTCCTCATTAGACCAGGGAAAGGAGAGGGCTCTGGCAAGGCTGATCCTATAGAAGCCTGGACGAACAGAACAGAACAAGCCGGCCTGCTGCTGCTTTTTATATGGCTCTTGTTCTTAGCCTTTGATGACACTGTTTAGAATAGGAAATATCTAATAAGTCAAGTATTCTGTCTAATGTGCTGCCAGTGGGTTTAGTATTTGCCTGGAGGTCTTGAAACCCTATCTACGCCACAGCAATAATATACATTCGGAATTCTCATGGAGTGGGTGGAAGGGAGTGATGTTGAGAGAGAGAGATGGGGGGGGGCTGCTGAGAATACATGTGGTAATAGTAACCATGTGCAGGTTCAAGCAGGCGAGGGTGGGATAGGATGAGACATCTTTTGAAAACTCTCTTTCTTTATGTCTCATCTATTTTCAATTGATCACACTAGTGTCAATAGATAGCAGTAGCTAATTGAAACTGGCATTGTACCCTTTAACATGAATGAGAAACATGGGGGAAAGGCTTCAATCATGGGGTAACAGGATTGGACATTATTGGAGCTGATGATGATGAATTGGTAATAGTTATTTTCATGACGCACCTGACAGCTAACCCTAACCTGCAGCTATAGGACGAGTGTTTCATTGATATGTCACAGTGGTTAGTAAAACTCAAGCAGCCTCACATGTTTGCATGTGCTTTCTATGACTTCTGTTATATCTTTACTATTATATATTTTTACAATTTTACTATGGATTACTGTGTATGAAAAAAAAGTGCTTTTGTGGGGCAGGTTCTAAGAGTTTGTTCTCAGCATTTTAAAATATATTCCATGCCCATTTTAAAAGTAAACACTTGTTTTTATTCAATTTTTACCCACACGTGTCAGTTCCATTTAAACATGTCCAGTCATTTATAGTTTGGTAGGTAGCGTTTAGTTGTATTTGTTGTCTCATCTCTGTCCCCTGGGAGTCGGTGCAGTAGTTTATATTCATGAAGATGGCATGCTATGGGAGCAAAATAAAGATGCCTGCATTGACGCTTGAAACCTACTGTCCATTGACTGATATCATCTGTCACTGAAGCTTTTATTGCCACAACGGCTGGACCCCTCCCGACATCCCTTAGTTGGAGCCAAGCAAAGAATCTCTGCTGCTTTCAAAACAATACCACAGGCTCTGCACAAAACAACTGGATTTCCCGGGGTGAGGCCCTTTTCAAGACATTTCCAATATTGCAAGAATTGCAAAATGATTTTAAGACCACAAAGCATGCATTGTATGTCTCTGTTGCTTTTTGATGCTCTCCTTCTTCAGTCAATTTGTATATGGTTTCAATCAAGCAATTTATTTGGTTAGTGTCCTCTTGTAGAGTCAAACGAGAAACAAAGAAGAAAATAAAAAATGCTCTCATCGATTTGTATTTGATGCTCTGATCCTCCTCTGTGCTTCTCACACAGTGTCTACGTTTTGTTGGAGATAATGCACACTGTTTTGATGCAAATGTACCTGCTCGCTGTATCCAGTTATTAGAATACATCCATGAGTTACACAGGTAGCAGCTTCCCTTTGCACGCTCGCCACACAAACAGACACACACACACAATCTCTCACACACACACACACACACACACACACACACACACACACACACACACACACACACACACACACACACACACACACACACACACACACACACACACACACACACACACACACACACACACACACACACACACTGATAGTGAACACAGCCTAACTGTCTCTGTGTGTGTGCAGGTGTGTGGTTTGGAGCAGAAGCATGGCGGCCGGGACCCAGCAGCAGGTGTGGACTCGTCCTCCCGTCTCAGCGGGACAGGGAGGGACAGCGGCTTCGGCAGTGACAGCGCTTGCATCCGCATCGTTCAGATCGAGCAGCAGAGCGGGGCCAGCCACCACCGCATCGCCCGGCCCTCACACACCTCCACCATCACCAAGAACCTCAGCTTCATCCCCTTTGACATCTTCCTCACAGCGAGTAGACTCTCCGTCATGACCTACGCATGCTCCAGCCCCCCGAAGGCCCTCCCCTCATCGTCTGACACCCCCGGCACCCCCGAGGAGAAAGAGCCCGGGGATAAGGTAAACACAACGCATGTTACATGGGAGCTCACTCTTGAGTCATTTCCTGGATTTGTCAGTTGTCCATGTGTGTGTAGTTGTTCAAACTATACACAATAGCTATATGTGTTATTTATGTGAGTATTGTAGTGGGTTATAAGTACAAAGGTTTAATTATACACAGCTTTCAAATAAACTGTAACATTTTTAATAACATTTTTGTTGATAATTTATATTGTAACAGAGATTTGTACAGTACTATGAATAATTGTGATATTCCACTCAATCTGTCTCAGCCCATCTAGCTGAATGTACATGTGTGATGTATATGTTAAGCGGCTCCTCAAACAATGTCCACGTTAATGTGATCTAGGCTCATGTGTAAGGGAAAGACAGCTTTATACTGTCCCAATAAAATAAAACAAAATAAAAAACATAGTTGACCTAGGCATTTAGAACTCAAAAAATACGTTGACTGAAAAATATATATATATATTTGACATGGCTGATGTTATACGATAGCGGCTAATAAATACAACTATTTAAAAAAAGAGGTTGATTTCCGGCAGTTCCTCCAAGCAGTAGATCTATACAGTATGCATAGCATGAACCTGATCTGTGTAAACTACATGATGCTGGTGAGCTATGATGGCCCAAAACGTTCATCTTTTTCTATCAGCTTATTGAATCAATTTCAATAAATATTCTTCCTACATCTTCTTCAGGTGGGAAAAAGTGCTCTGAACCAGCCTGAGATCCTGCCTGAGTCTCCTCCAGCCTCGACCCCCCCCACACCAGACCCCGCTGCAGTGGCCCAGGTTTCTCTTGCTGGCCTCACCGCTGAGGACATCCTCAACAGCAACAACTCCCAGACGGCCTCCCCCCTACTGAGAGGCAGCCTGCTTTCCCTGGGGGGCCTGCCGACGCCCAGCCGCTCCTCCGCACGCCAAGCCCTGGGTGTTACCATAGTGAGGCAGCCGGGGAGGAGAGGGGCGGGGGACCAGGTTCTGGAGCCCCTCCTGTACATCCAGGTGATGCAGCCTTCTGCTCTGCTCAGCTGCCACCACCGCAAGCAGAGGATGGAGCTCTCTGTGTTCGACGTGGCCTTACGAGGAGTCCCCTCTGACTACAAGTGTTTGGGTAAGAGAGACCAGATGAGCAGAGGAGAGTGGCAACGTTTGTGTGGGAAAAGGTTCTTACGGGATTTTGTATGACTAAAGGGTGGGATTTAAATCCTCTGTATATAGACCCTATTTAAATGACAGGGAATGTAACTTTGCTACCAATCCATTATATCCATAACATGTCAGACTCTAAAAGGGTTTGATGTGAAATATGTTGACACCATTTCTTTGTCTGTTCTGTTTTCTTCCATTTCTCCTATTTTTTTTCCTCTTTCTTTATCTTTTCTGTTCCAGACCCAGGAAAGACTCTGCCAGAGTCTCTGGACTACCATGTGTTCTGGATGCAGACAGTAGCAGGAGAGGTAGACAGCAAAACAGGCATCCCCCCCCCTCTGCTCTGCCTCCAGATCAAAGATTTCCTCAATGGACCGGGTGGGGATCATACACACACACACACACACACACACACACACACACACACACACACACACACACACACACACATTGTTCAACGAATGCCACATTTGAAGGCATCCGTTTTATATTTAATTTCAGGGGTAACATCCACCGCTGTGACGCAGCAAGAAGACACACACATGCACATACACACTGATCATAAAACATCCCAGAGTCAAACACAAATATCTACTTTTCTGCTATGTGTGTAGATGATGAGCAGTCTAAACCATTGTGGCAGGCCACTGATATTGATTATACTCACTTTGAACAAGCTCCTGGGAATTGTTGTGTGTGCGTAATGTCAGGCTGAAATGTGCATTTCACAGGGTTTGGTGGTCTATTTTTAGACTGATGTCATATCCATGTGAGCAGCTTTAAGCTAAGGTTGTTGACCTAAGGGTGAGGCTGACATCCTACCCAAATAGAAGAGCGGTGAATAAAAGTGTGAGTGGGCTTTTCCGTGTGTGAGTGTGTGCAGCCTTGTTATCCCTATGATTGTTTCATGAATAGTGTGTGTAGGCGCAAGACATCCTTCAAAGTTCAGCTCCCTGAACCCAGTAGGCCAGATGCTGCAGATACACACACATATAACTACAGATATACTTTGACATATCTCTGTCTTTCGTCCACATGCATACAATCATGAACTCACACTGTGCATGTGTACAATGAGGAGCTCCAGGCTGAACTGTAGATGTTATTGATG